GGTTCAGCACCGATAATCTCAAAAGCCCCCCCGCCAATTGCGTAAAACCTTGAGCCAGCACCATCTCCTTCCCATTGCCACAACTTTCTTGAAAAGATCAATAGTAATGTTTTCCGCTCCTGCCCGGTCTTTCAAGACGATGTTCCACAAGACGTTTCGGCACCAACATTCTATGCTCATTTCCCATCTCCCATGGGATCTTGGGGTAACACTACTATTCCCACTTTCATCCCCTTTAAGACCAAGCAATAATAATGGTTCATTTCCCGAGTTTTTCTCCTTCTAATTCGATCATAACCTCATTTCTGTTTCTGCTATTCTCATACTGGAAAACAACGAACGAAACATAACAGAGCATTTATTACGAATGGACAAACTAAGAGCTGCATGGTAATACATCACAGTGGTGGGTATTGATTACTCTCATTACATCAATGTGGGTTCCTGTGTTTGTTTTGTGTCAGACATCGTGACGTGACCACACGGCAGGTGATACAGGATAATGCTCGAAGTGGTAATTCACGACTAGAAAGGTACAAAGTCTATGAAAAATGGGCGTTCCGTGTGTCAACTGCGAAGACTAACAGCACTCCGAGGAGACGCGAGACGTCTTGAGAACAAGGTTCTTCCAAAGAAAGACTTCCAAAAGCTTTCTTATAAATTGAGTAAGGCAAACGTCTACGTGACAGTCGAAGTTCCTTCTTTCTCGTTAGACTTTTGACAACCAAGCAGTCACGTTGGCCAGAGAAACAAGTTAAATTGACCGGTCAACAAGGAACCACCAATCACTATTTGACCTGTCAGAGCTACTTGTCCCTTTAAAAACTAGACCCGTTCCCAAGCAGCGTTCGGCACGGTCTGTCCTCTCGATGAGCACAAAATATTCTGACACGACAAATGGGTGCAACCCGGTGGCAGGCGAGTCGCCTCATGTTCTCGAGGTGACCTGGTATCATTTTCGACCAGTGCCGGCTATCCTCATTTCGTGGTATTCCTTGGACGCCATAGGCAAATGCAACCACATTACTTTATATCACATGGTAAAATACCATCATTACCTTCCCACCTGCATCTACTTTCATCATCCTTATCCAACATTATAAGGCGCTAATAACGCTTGGCGATGCTAATTTGGCGAGTATATTTGGCGACTGTGCCGGCGACACGGCATGATCTTCCCGCTGTGGGAGATCATTGCGTCTGTTGCCATATGTCACAGTCCTAGTGGAACAGCCACCGAATAACCTCTCTATATCATAAAGGATGTTGTATTTCAACCGAACTCAAAGACAATCATGTACAACGGAAAAGAAACAAAATCAGAAACAGGTCCACTCCCGTGTAATAAAGTCTCCCAACATCCTCCGTGACGTCAGCATGATTCATTGCTAGGCCGCTGCGCTAACGCTATAGAATACATCGCTGAAATTCGGCTTAAGCAATCTGAAAGTATACCTACATAGCCTATATGATCGCGTTATTGTTAAGTAACCTTAAATATAAAAATCTTGCTAATGAAGAGACAAAGAGTCTATTTAAAGGAGTATTCTACTGGCAAAACTGACAGCCACATTTCAAAACAGTTCATTCAAAATATCTGTTTGCAATTTGTTAAATTAACACTACATTGTATACAGACCGACGTCATATTTCACAGTCACTTTTACGGACTGCTGACGTGTATTAATGGCGTACAGAGTCACTCAGATAGTGACGAAAAACGACACTTGTAATTCCACGTCCTGTCCAGCGCAAAACATGAAGTCCTGCTGCTGTCTGTTTAAATACGACAGTGGGGAAAAAACGAACGATTGGAAAAGGACCCCTTTCAGTGTATTTAACAACAAGCAGGAATCGCAAAACAACATTTCTACTGCTTTTAACTCTTCTCCATACTCTGTTCAAATGTTAAAATATGTGTATATAAAGCTGACGCAGATATACCATTACAAAATCAAAATGACGGAAGAATTAAAAACGTTGTCCCAAAATAGAACATCAGATGATCTGGAAACAGCGCTGAAGGACTAAAGGTTATGACGCGGTGCCTGAACACACGGAATACGCCATTTTCCCTTCAAATCGTTTGACATTTGTCAGCAAACAAATCTAAACAATCTTAGTTGAACTTGAAATGTACATTCTACAGGATGATCCAAAAGTCCCTGCGCGCACAAACACGCCCTAGGTGGCTTTCCTCAGCTTCTGAATCACTTTTTAACTTCCGACACTTGTTCTTAAGGGTGCACAGAAGCTTTTCAGTCACCCTGTATGATAAACACGTTGGAAGTGTTTGGAACAAAATAAAATAATATGCCATCAACTAGTATGGAAATAAATGAACTCATTTTATTTATAATTTTACAAGTAAGTAACTATAAACATGTAAATGTGAACTGCAGAGAAGAGGGGGGGGGGGCACATCAGTGCTGAAGTAATTAAAAAAAAAAAACTTTAACGTGCTAGTATACAATATCCGCAAAATTAGCTAAGGCGTGCGGAAATATGGAGTTCAAAGATGATGACGAAAAAGAAACGTAGTTAACACAAAGGAAGAACAGTTGGAGACTAGCAGAGGAGTAATTCACTTGATCTGGCAAATATCGGAGATTACTTCCCTCTGTTTGGCGTATTCATTTGGGCCATAATGTTTGCCGACGACTCCTGGACTTAAGTCGGAGAAATGCTTTGAGATACTACGGCAGATGACTCTGATGACCACTCGTGACTCAGTGCAAAACACGTATCTGTTAATTGTTGGGTAGACGCGAATGATTAGTCTATTGACAGATGCATCATTGCCTCAATATCCGTCGCAATAGACCCTGACTCCTGGTCAGGACAACTATGAGATGGCGGAAAAGCAGGGATATCTTCTTTTCTGTTTACAGACGACATGAGTATCAAAGCAAGAGATTTAGTTTTGGGCCTACGGAGAGGTTTCAGGATGTTCTCCTTCGGCTGTTGCCTTTTTTGCTCATTCTGAAACGTCGCCTTCTCAGACGACAGGGACTGCCCTGATACATCAGTTGGGGCACGACTGTCACAATCATCAGTGTCGGATTTTGACAAATGGCTGACTGAGCGTGTATCGCCGACAGTGTGACAGCTTAAGGGGCGGTGCTTCCCTGGAATCATAGCAATGTCTAGCGCCCGACAGCAGCGCTCCATAATAAGAAAACTCCAGCGGTGGACACACGACAGACTGCAGAACCGCCTTGCATCGGTCTCCTCGTGGAAGTGGCATGAGATTCCTCTCGCGAATTCATGTGCGTCGTTTTCCAACTCGAGCTCAGCACATCCAAATGCAGGAAAGCGTGATGCGCCCGCAATACCCAGACTTGCATTCCAGAGGTCGTGGAACAATTTTGGAAGCGAGCGTACGTCAAACACACATTCAGAGCGTACCTTGGGATCAACGCATTTCTGAAATTCTCTTAACACTGTTTTAACCACGTCGATGTCACTTGGGCGTGAATACAGGGGCGGAAGCTTTGACTTAGTTCCGTCCTCCTCCATTAATAACTGTTTGATGTTAAATAATACTTTCTGATAATTCCCTTCGCCCCCGAAATCATTCGGTGGTAGCGGAATATTATGGGTATCTGCCGAATGTAGCTCTGCCAGAAAAGTATAACCGACAGGTATAGCACCTGGGTCAATTAGCGCGTGGTACGTCTTCTTAACACCGTCTGCAAACGTGAATTTAGCGACAGCAATTTCGCAAGCGGAGTACGTCCCGTTCCTCAGCTCGCAGAAGTAGTTGATGTGCACGACGTGAAACGGGTAGGTTGTCAGCGTGGCCCGGCTCTCGAGCAAGCGCGGTGGTCCCTCGACCCCTTGCGCCAATCTCACC